AGAATATTATCTCTAGATGCAGAAAAAGCTTTTGATAGAGTTAACTGGAAGTTCTTATTTGCAACTTTACATAAATTTGGTTTTGGGAACTTCTTCATAAACTGGCTACAAACATTATACAGTTCACCAACAGCACGTGTCAGGACGAACGACCAAATGTCAGCTAGCTTCTGTCTTCAGAGGGGGACCAGGCAGGGATGCCCACTCTCCCCCTCACTATTTGCTATCTTTATTGAACCACTAGCAGCAGCAATTAGGCAAACAACAGATATTAAAGGGATAAAGTGTAATAAAATAGAACATAAGATCAGTCTTTATGCAGATGATGTTTTACTCTTTCTCCAGAATTCTCAATCCTCTCTCTCCGAAGCAATATAACTGATAAACTCTTTTTCCAGAGTTTCAGATTACTCTATAAACTGGTTAAAATCCACAGTTCTACCAATTAATTTCTCATTTGTCAATTTGCTTAATACACAATTGGAGTCAGGGAATATCACATACCTGGGAATTAATATCTCTCCCAAGTTAGCGGATCTAACCAAACTGAATTACATCCCACTTTTAAGGAAAGTGGAAGATGATCTTGCAAGATGGAAATCCTTACCAATATCACTCATGGGGAGAGTTGCTACAATTAAAATGATGGTCTTACCCAGAATAAATTACTTATTCTCGATGATCCCAAACAAACCTCCAGCTGACTGGTTTAAATCTCTGGACTCCTCAATTACTAAATTCCTTTGGCAGGACGAACCTCCACGAATTAGCTTAAAAACGCTTCAGAAGACCAAAGACAGAGGAAGACTGGATTTACCCAACTTTTATTATTATTTCTTAGCCAGCAGGCTGCAATATATACCAAGATGGTTGCAAGATAACCCATTAGACGAGTCCTGGTTAGATATAGAACAGACACTTTGCAATAAGATAGAGCTTTCAGACTTACCATTTATTAGCCCAAGCATAAGAAAACATGAAAGCTTCAAAAGTATTAGTATCAGCACCTCTCTGACAGCATGGTGGGAGTATCTTAAAATGACCGAGTCTTCACTAGTACCATGCAGACGCACACCTATCTGGAACAATCCTGACATTTTGCAAAAAAACAAAATGATTAACCTTCCGGACTGGAAAAATAAAGGAATCCTATACCTGGAACACATATATGAAGGATTTGACTTCATCCCATTTAATCAAATAGTCTCCCAATTTGGAATGGATAAGAATAGCTTTTTAGAATATCACCAAATTAAATCTGTAGTCAAACAAAAATTTAAGGTCAATAAAATAGAATTACAAACACCACCAAGGGAATTAGACTTTTATAATCTCAAACCCCCCAAACTACTGTCTAAAGTATATAAGACACTGTCCAAAATAGACGATAAAATTGCAATCCCTATTGAAAAATGGGAGGTGGATCTATCAGTTAGCTTTGACCAGGACTTCTGGTCCCAAACTTGTTTAAAAACTTTTAAAATGATCAGACACCCCAATTTACAATTAATTCAGTACAAAATTCTACACAGAGTACACTATACAGGTCATCGGATGTTCAAGATGGGGTTTGCGTCGTCTGACACCTGTACACACTGCACAAACAACATTTCTGACAATTACATTCATGCACTGTGGTCCTGCCCACCTGTCCAGGAATTTTGGGGTAGAGTATGTGAGGATCTGTCAAAATGTCTGAAATGTCATATCCCAACTTCCTCCTCTCTTTGTTTACTGGGACAGCTGCACGATGTCCCGACTGAAACATCTTTGGTTCACGTGGTTCTGACTGCCATATGCATCGCTAAGAAAACTATCCTCTTGAATTGGAAAAATAGAGAAAGTCTCTGCATTAACCAGTATAGAAATCTTTTGTTAGATCATATTGCACTTGATATAGCCTCTGCTTCCACTTCAGATGAATCTCTCTGGGCTCCTTTGATCGGTTCCATCACATAGCGAGGGTGGGGGGCCATTGATGTTGTCCTGCGGGATGGTGTGGGTGGGGGGGTGTGGGGTCTGAGTTTGGAGTATCCGGATGTTCCCTGGAGGTGGGTTCACTGGGGGTGTCTGGGACTGGGGGGCTGTTGCCCCCCTCTGGAGGTGCTTGGGTTGCCTCGGGGGGTGGACTGCTGGCGGTTGTGAGTGGGGCCCCTTGGGGATCTTGGCGGCGGCCATGGGTCACTGCCTGGCGGCTGCAATGCCCCTGGGCGGGTCTGGGTGGGGGCCTGGGGGCTCGGGGTTTGGGGGTGGCCGGCCCCGTGTGGGGATCTGGGCGGGGCCTTGGGGGTCAGGTCCTGACATGTATGCTGCCGGGAAGAAGGCAGGAACACTCGGCAGTGCCTGGCCCGGGTTCGGGGGCATCAGGTAGACCTTGGCTCCTCTGCCGTTCCATCACAGGGGAGGGGGAGGTCCAGGACGGGGAGGACCAAACCTTACCTGGATGTCCCATGTCTTATATATTCTGGAAGTTGTGCAAACGCAGGGGTGGGCATAGATATTCTGCTGGGATGGGGCTGGGTTGGTGCCCTCAGACTCGGTGAGGCTCTGTAATGCTGCTGCTTTGGGCCCTGGCAGGATGGGCTGGGGTCTCCATGCCCTGGGTGGCAGTTTGACAACAGAGGTGCCTATTGGGGCCAGTAGGGGAGCTGGCTCCCTGGAGGGCTAAGCCCAACCAGCCATTCCTCCCCATCCCCGCATATTTCTCTCCTCCTGCTCCCTCACATCATCACACAAACATACACATAGGACCTTGTGGGGTGGGCAAGTCAGGGAGTGCGGGTATGGACCCCATTTCCGCATTCCTGTGGCAACCTGCCCCCCAATTTTATTTGCACCTTATAAACTTCCACTGACGACATTCCACACAAACACACACTTAGGGCCTTGGGAGTGAGCACATTCAACGGCATTTGGCAGGGGGATATTTCAGCCTCCTCCCGAGTGCCGGTGCCCACTTCCAATGTTAAACCGCACTTAGACACTGATGGCTGAGGGTGTAAGTGGGGTGGTGCGGTGGCATCAGCTGGCATATGCCGGATGATGCCCGCACTGCCCACTCACCACAGCCATGGAATACACCTCATGATCACACAACACTATATTGGAGCAGGTGGAGGGAGACTAGGGGTCTTAGCCACCTCTGTTGTTGCTAGGCTTCCTGGGGCTGGAGGCTAGGAGGGAGATCTGGCCGTCTGGTTGGGGTCTGGGGTGGTGGGTTGCTGTGCTCAGCGTTGGGCGGGGGAGCCTGCTCATCAGCACCCCAGCAGAAAGGGTCAAACTCTGGTTACCAGTGATGGTTGTACCCCATGTGCAGCAGTACCGGGACCAGAGTTAATAAGGTGTGTATGGGGAGCATGAGTGAGTGTCCGGCTTGCATTTTTGTAAGTCTTGGGTTGTATGTGCATGTGTGAGCATGAGGGAGGGAGTGTGTGACTGTGTTTGTGTATGACTGTATATGTCAGGTGGGGCCTTTGGGTCCTCCCCTCTCCGGGAACTTCTCTTGATGATATAGATCTTTGTCCCCCCTCCCCCTGCCACACCTGGTGTGGGGGCTTGTGCCATGGTCTGCCTGAGTGTTCGTGGCAACCGGGTCCGGGGGTTTAAGATTTTAGCATCTGCCTGATAGATCCCGGTGGCTGCCTGGTGGGGTCTGGGTCCCTGGGCTCTGCTGGGTCCCCGGCGGGGGTGGTCACCCCTGGGTCCCGGGTCGCTGGGTCCCGGGCTCGGCCGGCTAGGGGGTGGGAGGCTGCGGGCGGGCCTGTGGGCTTGCCGCTGATATCTCCAGGGACTCTGCCGGCTGCTGGTTGTGGCCCCCCGGGGCGATCCTCTGTGCCTCTCGAGGGGGGCGGGGGCCTTTCTGGTTGCAGTCTCCTTGGGGTTCCTGCATTCTGGGGCAACGCCTGGATCTCTGGGACTTGGAGCTCCCCCCGTCTCCTGCGCATCTTTGGGGGGCGGATCTGTGGTCCCTCACACTCTCTGTTGGACGCTCCTATAGTGAAACCTTAAATAAACAAGCGCGTGTACACACACAGGTGCTCACATGGTGCTCTCAAAAGTATGGGCTTGGGCACGTTCAACACATGTCTTAAGACTATGGGGGCACTTAATGCATTGTGATTTATTATCGTGATTCTTCAGTTAAGCAATGTTGATTATATATATATATATATATATATATTGTTTTTTTTGTTGTTTTTTTTCATCAAGTTGACGCATCTTTTGTTGTATTGTTGTTGTGTCCCTTTTTTGTGTCCTTTTTTTTTTTTTGTCTTTTTCTGCAGGTCTAGAAGCAGACTCTTGTTCATTGTTTATTTTTGTGGAACCCCCCCCCCCCCTCCTCTCTCTCCACCTTTTCTCTTCCTTTCTCTTTCACCTCTGTCTCCGTGTCTGGTCGGAATTACAAAGCATTCAACAACAATAACAAAGTTTTAAGTATCAGGCGTGACATTAAAAGCAAACGCTTTGATGCTCCACCTGAGAATAAAACTGTAAGGCTTGTCACCAGCATTCAGACATCAATTCTGCTTGCTTCACAGCCAGACAGGACACGGTAAAAAAAAAACAAAAAAAAAAAAAAAAAAAACTGGTCTGTCTACTGCATAATGCTGAACTCTAACATGTGTCCTCAGGGAAGGACCTGATTGGTGTCCAGAACCTGCTGAAGAAGCACCAGGCTCTGCAGGCTGAGATCACAGGTCATGAACCTCGCATCAAGGCTGTCACCCAGAAAGGAGAGACCATGGTGGAAGAAGGTAGAGCAGGTCTGGTCCTGACATGTTTCTGAGGTGTCTGCAGGTTCTGGGTCACTTTTTTTTGGGTCCAGGTCACTTCGCTGGTGAGGAAGTGAAGACTAAACTGTGGGAGCTTCATGGACGTTGGGACACGCTGAAGGCCAAGGCGTCCCAGAGGAGGCAGGACCTGGAGGACTCTCTGCAGGCCCAGCAGTACTTTGCGGATGCTAATGAGGCCAAGTCCTGGATGAGGGAGAAGGAGCCCATCGTTGGAAGTCCAGACTAAGGGAAAGACGAGGACTTGGCCGAGGTATGGAAGTCCCTTCCTGAGAAACTCCAATCGCTTTTCTTTGCTCTCTTTCCAGTCCTTCATAATTAGTGTTTCTGTATTTGTCATGTCCTTCGGTTGTCTACTAGACGTCGTTGCTCGTTTGAGCGTCTCATGGGTTAGGGGTAGAAGTGCTGGCCTCGCACAGGAAGTGATGACAAACGTGTTCCCGGCGCTCTTATTTCAAACGGTTTACAAGCTGTGATGTGTGTTCCCGCTGCAGAGCAGCCATGACACGTGGCAGCCGGCAGAAGGCTCACGCTTTTCCACTAAACACCCGCAGAGCTGCGGTGAACTGAGCAGGGTTTGTTTTACGGTGGCAGATCCGATTGGACCATCGCTGCGAGAAAGCTCCACTTGTGTCAGACGAGCTGAAGGTTCTGATGTTCTGCTCCACAGGCTCTCCTGAAGAAGCACGAGGCCCTGATGTCGGACCTGTCGGCTTACGGCAGCAGCATCCAGGCCCTGAAGGAGCAGGCCCAGTCCTGCAGGGTGAGTTCAGAACCCTCGGCCCGTCAGAACATTCTTATCCACCACGTTCTAACACCAGACCTGTTAACCCGACAGCAACAAGGTAATCAGCAGGTGCTTTTGTCCTGCAGGATCTGAAGGCCAACGAGTCCCGCCTGAGGGACATCAACAAGGTGGCATCTGAACTGGAGTCAGAAGGTCTAATGGCTGAGGAGGCTCCTATGGTTCAGGCTCAGGTGAGCGTCACCTGTCTGCAGCAGCTGGTCCCTCTCACTTCCTGGTTTAACTCTGCTCGTCTCTGTTTGTAGCAACAAGAACATCTGGGTTATGCTCCTGGAAAGGTGCATGTTGTCCTCCACCAGAACCAGACGTGGTGTTTTTGTTACCACTCATTTGTTTGTTTGTTTGCTTGTTTACAGGATGAAGCCGACTCTAACACGGCGTCACCCTGGAAGGTGAGTTCATTCAGCTGATCAGAGGTCACCTCTGATGGCCGCAGTCACGGCCGACCGTGCTGACATCACATAGGAATTCAGGTGACCCGGCAGGCACCAGGTGCTGGTGAAAGTGGGGACATGTCAGCTGGTTGCCATGGCTACAGTTATCTTTATGCATCTGTATGACTGTTGACTGGTGTGTGTTTCCTGCGACCTTTGACCTCAGACCGTACGGTTGGGCGTTCAGACGACGGCTAACTTTAATTCCATCAAGGTAAGAGGAAGCTCTTCCCTTCCTGTCTGAGCGATCCGTCTCCAGGTTTCCTCGTCCGGCGTCCAGCCCGCTGGCGTCCACCTTCATCTCATCTCACTTCATTTATAGTGCAATACTTTCACATTATCATTTTCCCACACTTCTGTATACCTGTATTTTGTTGTTTTTCAATAAAGAATGACAAATTATTTAAGTTTGGTTTTTGTTGCACACAAATATATATCTGTAAAAAATATCTACAAAGCTAATGTTTACATAACAAGTATGATTGGGTTTTGCAATACGGCACTCAAGTTTATTTTAGTAAGATTTTCAAACCAAGTAAAGTTAGTAAAGAACACATTTCTATTGTCTGCTAAGAAACTGTTGGGATTTAAAATGGGCCTGTTGTACAAATAACTTGTAAATGATTATTCCTCACTTTTGTCTTAACCCAAGAAATTCCAGTAATTGAGCAAAAACATTTATTTTTAACACTACATTTTATAAAACAGGGCGCAAAGTGTCGGCACATGTATGTATGTCGATGGTCCGCCCCAACCAAACCAGGAGACACAGACGTCAGGGAGGCCAAGGTTGTGTCCGACGGTCTCTGCAGCTCTCTGGGCACCACGCCTCACGTAGCTGTCTCCAATGGTCCAAATGGCTATGGAGAAAAAAATAACAGGTTTGTCATAATTGTTTAAAGTACAAAACCATACATGAAGTGGTCAAGACAGGAACTTACACTTGCTGCTTTGTGTAGCTGATGTTGGGGACACACAGGCTGCCATGGTGACCTTTTAACAGATCTAAGAAAAAAATGTAATAAAAGAATGAAACTTAAAAACTCCCAGACCTCATGTCATATTTACTAATCAGCTATGGCTGATTTATTGTTTGGATCACAGTGAGTTACACTAATTCTAATATATTTTTATTTCTATTATACATACATACTTTTTAACTGTTATTTTTACATGACTGTTATCAAGCTCTCTTGTTCTGGTTCTCATGATAATCCCGTGTCTTCCAGTAAGTTATCTTGTGCTTACTTCATCTGTATAATGTCTCTTTACTTTTGGTAAATTGTACTGAGTCCAGAATAAAGGCTAGTTGGCTGTACAAGATACAAACAAGTATTACGTTTTGGAAATATATGAAACACCGCCAGCATCTGTTAGAGCCTGTGGCGGGGTGCTGAGGGCCGGCTCCAGCCCAGGAATGAGCTCTCCACGCCGGCCGGGAGGGTTTGAAACACTGCCATCCTCTCCTCTGCTGGCTGTTGTTCATTCTGTTATGGTTACCGGTGCTTGTGTTGCAATGTGAAACGCTTGGTCTCAGATTTTGTAAGAAAGATAATAAAATGTCCCCCCAAAATACGACTTAAATATATTTTCTCTTCTTCATGATACATTTAATGGCTGGTGCGACTCAGGAGTGATAGCACCGAAAAAAACTGTACTGAAAACTTGCTCAAAGCAAAATGTTTTCATTACGGAAATAAATTATAAACTTACCGATTTAAAACTTTTTTAATCCAGGTACTTCTCACGAACAGGCGCAGAAAACCTCCACCTAAACTCCATGTGAGGGTCAGGTCGTTGGGTGTTCCAGTTAGCTCCGGTTGAATTGAAGCTAGGTGTCTACATCCGTTAGCTCGGTTCCCACCTCCGCTTTAGCTTTGGGTTAGCCAGGGTTAGCTTCAGGTTAGCTCGTAGCTAGTTCGTCACTCGATCCCAGCCTTACAGCCCCACCCTCAGCGCCTCCTCTCTTCCCTTTTATGGAATTGTCTGGGCTGGACGGAACCTGTGACACGGTCAAAATGGCAGTGGTGGCCACCTCCCATTATGGACAGAAAACGTGTTATTGAAGCCTATGGAATCGAATTGTCCAGTATGTACAGTCTATGGTTTACAATGGCTTAAATGAATCCAAGTTGGTCGTTCTGCTATTTTACATGCAGTGGGAGTGGTTAGCAAAACCTGAAATGGCCCTTCCCACTTAGGAGAATGCCAGTGTTTCCTTTTGATGCTTTTAATCAGGACCCAGTCTCCCGGCTCCACTAAACTGATTTCCTGTGGAGACACAGATGAGGAGGGTTCATCAGTCTTTTGATCTTTTTGTTTTTCAAACATTTTTCTCATGTAATCAGTTAATGTAGCTTCTTCTGGAATTTCCCATATGTTGTTAAAATATGGTAATCTGTAAGCTCTTCCAAACAACATCTCATATGGTGTAAGACCTGTAGAGTTAGTGATGTTACAGTATAACTTTACTAAGTCTAAGCATTTAGTCCAAGGTCTTCCTGTTTCTTCCATACACTTCTTAAGTCTATTTTTTATGGTACCATTCTGCCTCTCTACAAGGCCAGCACTCTCGGGATGGTATGAGCAATGGTTTTTCAGATTTATTTGGAAACATTCACCTATTTTTGTGATTACTTGATTTACAAAATGTGTTCCATTGTCACTGTATATTTTTTCAGGAATGCCATAGCGCGGTATTATGTCTTTACATAATGCTTTGGCTACTGTAATAGCATCAGGGTGTTTTTTTGGGAAGAGCTCTACCCATTTGGTAAAAGCATCAACTATTACAAGGCAATATTTATAGCCCTCACTTTGGTTAAGTTCAATAAAATCCATATGGATGTTTTGAAATGGATATTCAAGTGTTGGTAATTTGCCACGTTTAGGTCTGAAGTTTCCTTGTGAATTGTGTTTCGCGCATATTAAACAGGCTCTACAAAAATTTTTAGAGTAGTTATTAAAGCCATAGGTTGTATATTGCTTATTTACCTGCTCTGTCATCCCCCCTGTTGAGACATGTGTGACACCATGACTCAATACTGCTGCCCACTTATAGAGATTTTTTGGTAGGATGGGTTTTCCTTCTGGTCATTTGTAGAAGTTGTCTGTTTTAGTCGCGCCTTTTTTGATCCAAAGTTGTTTTTCTGATTCAGGACTTTGGTTTTGCATGTCTGCCAGGATTTCTCCTGTCACGTCTGTGTCTGCATTGAGATGCAGAATGTTAGAAGCAGAAGCAGAAGCTTCTTTTGCAGCTCTGTCTGCAAATGCATTCCCTAATGAAACTGAGTCATTTCCTGCTGTATGAGCAGCACATTTGCAAATTGCTACAGCTTCTGGAAGTAACTCAGCTTGTATAAGTTCTGTTAACAGTTGAGCGTGAGTTACTGGTTTGCCTGTAGATGTCACCATACCTCTATTCTTCCAGTGCTGAGCAAAAACATGTACTGTGGAGAATGCATACTGGCTGTTTGTGTATATGGTCACCTTTTTGTCTTTCATTAGTTTACATGCTTCAGTCAAAGCTACAATTTCAGCTGCTTGTGCTGAAAAGGTGTTAGGTAATCTTCCTGCTTTAAGGATTTTTGTTGCTGAAACTACAGCAAAACCAGTTTGTGTTTTTCCAAATTGATCTTTTCTGGATGAACCATCTACAAATAGTATTTCTCCTTCTTTTAATGGTTGATCTTTTAAGTCAGCTCTAGGTTTCGCCAGCTGTTCAGTTTCTTGTTGGCAATCATGTGACAGACCATCATCTGATGTAGGCATCAGTGTGGCTGGTTTAGTGTCGTGCACCGCTCTATAGTTAAATGTGGTTGTGAGAGCAGTATTGCCATACAGGATAAATGACATGCAGGTGAGAGAAACGTCATATTGGTCTGGAGCAGAAGTGCGGACACAGCGTGAGGCACTTTGAGAGTCAGAGGATGAAATAAAACTATACCTGCACTACACTCAACTGCCATAGAGGACGCTATTACTGCTCTTACACATGGAGGAAGAGCACACGCCACACTGTCAAGTTTGGATGAGTAATAGGCTACAGGCCTCAGTTTTGCTCCGTGCTGCTGTAATAACACGGAAGTCATGAAATGAACTTTGCAGTCTACCATTTGAATAAATGGTTTCTGATAATCTGGCAGGGCAAGGGCTGATGAAGAAACCAGTGCCTGCTTCAGATCACAGAAAGCGTTTTCAGCTTCTGGGTGCCATTTCAGTTTGTCAGTCATTTTAATGTTTTCTTCATACATTAGTTTCTGTAGAGGACCTGTTATTTCTGCATAGTTTGGGATCCAGTTTCTGCAGTAGTTTGTCAGTCCTAGGAAGGGCATCATTTGTTTCTTCATCTGAGGTCTGGGAGCTTGTAAGATTGCAGTTTTCCTTTCCTCGAAAACTGTTCTGCCTTCACCACTAAGCTCATGACCTAAATATTTTACTTTGGTTTTGCAAAGTTGCAGTTTGTTCTTGCTGACCTTGTGTCCCTCTCTGGCTAAATGTTTCAACAGGGCAATTGTATCTGTTTTACAGCTCTGTTCATCAGGAGAGGCGAGAAGTACGTCATCTACGTAAAGTAGAATTTGGCTGCCGCATGGAGGATCAAATTTTCTCATGCTGGCTGACATCACCTGAGAGTAGATTGTTGGACTTTCTGAGTATCCTTGTGGCAACCTTGAGTAGGTGTACCTTTGTCCCATAAAGGTGAATGCAAACCAAAATCGGCTGTCTGGTGCCACAGGTACAGAGAAAAATGCGTTACTGATATCCACCACAGTGAAATAGTGGGCGTCTGTTCTTAAAGAATTCAGCAACGTGTGTGGATCTGGGACGCATGAAGCTCGCTGTACAACAGCATTATTCACCGCTTGCAGGTCTTGTACCATTCTCCATCCTACAGATGGAGCTTTCTTTTTCACGGGAAAAATAGGTGTGTTACACGGCGAGTCTGGACATGGAATTAAAACACCTGTCTCCAGTAGATCTTTTATTACTGGTTTTATTCCTTACTGAGCATCTGGTTTAAGAGGATATTGACGCACACAGGGACGATAATCAGATTTAGGTTTTATCTGTACTGGGACTGCTGATTTAATTAATCCCACATCTGACGGCCCTGCTGACCACAGTTCTTCAGGAACGTCTGTTAGCAGGTCTTCCTCTTCCTGTGTCAGCATCAGATGTCACTCTATGTTTTCATCATTCTGTAAGTGTGTGCCAGCTTTCGTTGTGACTGTCCAGTACAATGTTTTTCTGATCAGACCTGTTGACGCACTGGTATGTAACCCTGGAGCTTTCTTAATCCAGTCTTGTGCATTCTCACCCTGAGAGATTTTCCATCCTGCATCCTTCCACTGATCATGTGAGTTCTTATAGAGAGACATGTGGGGTGTGTAAAACCCTTT